TCCACCTACCTGTTTCCCATTTCTCCATTACTTTCGGCACTGTCTTGCAAAGTGAACGTTTTATTTATTCATATTTTTCAACCTTCCCTTGATGACCATCAGTTCCTCAAGGTATAGAAATTTCCTTCCTGACTTCCTTTGCTACATGACTGGGATGGAACCCAGGGCCTTGTGCAAGCTAGGCAACCTCTCTACCACTGAGCTACTTTCCCAGGCGAAGGACAAGAGTTTTTTGCCAGTTTTGTTCCTTACTGTGAACGAGCGTGACGAACAGGACCAGAACACAAGAGGGACTCAGTAGATACCCAGTCACAGCTAGGCATGGGGGTGCACACTCATCATCCCAGCACTGAGGAGGAGGATCAGTGTCGTGTGAGGCCAGCCTGGAATGCATAATGAGACCTTGTACTCCCCCCAAATAAATAGAAAAGTAAATGTTCCTAAAATGGATAGGTGCTGACAGTAATACATTTTGGGGTGCAGGAGCACTGGAATTGATCCTAGAGTCTTAGCACTGAGCTACATCCCTCACTCTCTCCCTTTTTATTTTGAGGTGAAGTCTCATTAAATTATTATGTTATCCGGGATGAGTTCAAACTTGTGATCCTCCCAACAGCCTACGAAGATGCTGGGATTATAGGTGTGTACCACCACCTGCAGCTAAGAATAGCCATTTAGTTAAGGGCATGTTTTCTGCTAAATTTTTAAAGATATCAGCTAGTTATTTTTCACTACTGGGACTCAAAGCTAGGGTCTTGAGCATGCTCAGCACACACTCAACGACTGAGTCCTACATGTCCAGCTCCACAATTTTGTTTCCTCCTTTCTTTTGTTTGGAGACGGTCTCACTACGTAGTCAAGGCTGGCCTTGCATTTGGGGCAATCGTCCTGCCTCAGCCTCCAGAGTGCTGGTATTATAGGCATGTGCTGCTGTACACCCAGCTCCCGGAGAATTTTCTTGATCACCATGCTCTTCAGCTGCCCTGACCCACGACCAAACCAGCTGCTGCAAGGCCTCCAGAGATTTCCCCCACCTTTCAAAGTCTCAGGACACTGAACCTCAGGGAGGAAGTCTCTTGCCCAAGTGCAAAGTGAAGGAGCTGGGCTCGATCCAGGCTTTTCCTGCCCTAGAGCCTCCACTCTGATGCTCCTGGTGAAGAGGCTCTGGAGGACAGACCTGATGCAGGAATGGTTTGCTCCAGCGGGGTGGAGCTGAGGCTGCACTGCACCTGCATGGCTTGTCCCGGTGTGGTTTGGGTGCTTAACAAAAAACAGGGACCTGAGAATGCAGACTCACCTGTGTTCACTCACACGCTGGGGCCAAGACACCTTCACGTAACGGGGTGAAAGATAACCACGACCCACACACGGCTTGTTTCATGCCACTATCATGCTGGTGTGTGTGTGATCTGCGTATGTGGGTGTCCCTTTCTTACACCTTTTTTACCGGTGAGACAGAGGCACAGAGGGGCAAGTCACTTGGTAGAGTGGTCAGGCTGGGACTTGAACCTGGAAGCAGGGATGCTTGGAGAGGACTGAGGTCACTGAACAGCGAACTGGCAGGGCGCGGTGGTGCTCCCTGGGAGCCCGAGGCAGGAGGACTGCAATTTGGAACCCAACCTGGGCAACTTAGCAATTTAGGGAGACCTTGTCTCAAAAACAAATAAAAAAATGGGCTGGGGACAAAGCTCAGTGTGGAGGCCCTGGATCACAACAGAACAAAAACATCCTGTCTGCTCCTGCTTGGGTAGCGTCTGCTGTGTGGGGTAAAGGGCTGGGGAGGTACCCCCTGTGGAGGGAGAACGGACTCTGTGTATCATTCTGCAGGCCCAGGGACTAACCGGGAATGTTTGTTGGGGTGGAAACAAATGCCTGGGTGGGAGGGAAGATTTTTACTCTGCGTACTTTCCAGTTTTGTATTTTGATAATGCAGCCAAAAAGTGAAACTGCAAAGTTAAAAATTATACTTATGCTTATGTAAGTGCAGATTCTGCCTTGGATGCACAAAAACATGTTTTTTAAAAAAACGGGAGCAGACTTATGGTGCCATTGGGCGTCTGTCCTGATGCAGGGGAAAGGTACCCGCAGGCCCAGCGGAGGGAGGGAGCATAGCCTTCCCCACAGGCTGTGCCTGTGCGCGAAGGTCCCAGGGATGGGACCCATGGCCTGCACATGCTAGGCAAGTGCTCTACCCCTGCCAGCACTAAGCTACACTGTTTCTTTTGCTCAATCAGGGCCTTGCTGAGTCACTAAATTACCCAGGCTGGGCTGAACTTGGAAGTCCTTCTGCTTCGGCCTCCTCAGTAGTTGGGAATAAGGTCTGCACCACCATGTCTGGCAAATGCGTTTCTGAGAATTTTGCTGTTTGGGGGGGGGGTAGGGAATCAAACTCAGGCCCTTGCACTTGCAAGGGAGGCAGGGGCTTGACTGAGCTAAATCCCCCGCCCTGCTGTTTGTTTTTACAAACATGCTGGGGTGGAAGCCAGGGCCTCAGAAACACTAGGCAGGTAGGATAGGTGGAGCCTCACCCCAGCCCTACTACAAGATGCTCCCCAGAATCCCAACCTGCTCCCAGGCTTTGGTGCTTCTGCTCAGGGCTCCTCAGCAGGAAATTCTCAGGGGCCTCTGCTGAAGACTAAGGAAGACGCGGCCCTGATGACCAGAGCCAGATCTGCACTTCAGTTCACCAGACCAGGTCATCCAACTCAAGGATACCCTCCCCAAGTTCGTTCTCTGCTCTGATGACCCAGGGGCTCACCTGGGGGATGGCAACTCCTGACATCACACGGCTGCTCAGGGAGAAGTGACCCATGAGTCACACTTGTTAAAAGCCCTCTAGATCTGCACTGTTGGATACCACTAGCCACACGCAGGTGTAACTGCTGAGCAGTGTTTGTGGCTGGAGCCACTACTACAGAACAATTTTAGCTTTGTTGACTTTTTTTGTTTGTTTTTTGAGACAGGGTCTCACTATGTAGTTGAGACTTACCCGGAACTATGTAGCCCAGGCTGGTCTCCAAGTCACAGCGATCCTCCTGCCTCAGCCTCCCGAGTGCTGGGATGACAGGCGTCCACCACCACACCCAGCTGGCTTGGTTGACTCTCAAATAACCTAAAAGATAAGCCAGTTATGGTGGTGCACGCCTGTCATCCCAACACTCGGGAGGCTGAGGCAAGAGGATCACTGTGAATTCAAGGCCAGCCTGGGCTACTCGTGACTTTGTCTCAAAAAAATTAAAATAAAAAAGCCAAAAATAAACGAATAAATGCTATAGAACATTGCCATGGATAGGCATAGTATCTCGCATGCCTGTCATTCCAGCACTTAGGAGACTGAGGCAGGATTGCTTAAGTTCAACCCCAGCCTGAAGTGTATAGCAAGACCTTGTCTCAAAAAACAAAGAACATTCCCTCTATAGCAGGGTCCTCTTGGGTGGTGCTGCCTCTGCACTTCCAAAGCTATTTCAGCTAGAAGGAAAAATAACGTTTTGGTTGGTTTTCTATGCAGTTAAATTTGTTTTTTGCAGCATGGCTGGGTACTGAGTTCAGAGGTAGCGAGGTACTTAGCTGGAAAGAGGCCTTGTGTTCTATCCTAGCACTGAAGATCAAAATACTCAAACACCAATAAAATCTACTTCGTAGCAAAACATTGTTCTAAGACTGTGTAATTACTCACCCTGTAAGAAAACCAGTTAATTAAAAAAATGACAGAGCTAACACATCAGTAGCCAGCATATCCAGTGGGGCAGGAAATGGGTCTTCTCAGGGTGGGGCAGCTCTGGCCTGGCTCCCCGCAGTGATGGCTGGATGCCTAGTTCTCTTTCTACCAGGCCTGCCCAACACAGCCTGCCTGGCCAGCACAGCAGCCACAGACAATCAGGAAGTACACTTTGCCCCTCCCTTCGGCCCCAGGGACTGAATTCCCAGAGGAAGTAAGGATCCTGGAGGAGGCGACTGTGGCCCTAACCTTCCCAGGTAGGCTGGATCCACCGCTCTTGGGCACCCCGGGCCTGGCTGGGCTGCTGTTCTCTCCCTGTGGGTGGCGGGAAGGCTTCTCTCACCCTGGCCCTGAGGGGGGTGCCCTTTCTGCTTCCTCCCAACCCGTCTGCTTTTGGGAGGGGAGGCTCCTCGGCCACACACCTCACCCTGACAGCTGAGCACTCAAACAAGAGTCGCAGGACCACTCCCCTGAGGTTTAGCATCAGTCTTTAATGCTGTCATGCTGCATGACAAATCACACACTTTGGTCTGTCGGCAGTGGCAATGTACAATGAATCTAAAGGTCTGAGCACCAAGACTGGCCTCCAGAGAACAGACATTTTCATTCTGACCTCTCCCCACCCCCAAAGTTTCTTCTGAAATCCATTATGGCCCTATACAAAGAGGAGCAGCTGCCGTGGACTATTTTCATTTGAGTGCACACCAACTGTACATGGAATTATAAAAACATATTTACAGAAGTTCCACAGTGCTCCTGTAATCAGAAGCAAAGACCCTTTTATCAAAAGGGATATCTAGGGCTGTGCAAAATTCAAAAGGATCAGTTCCTTTTGAGAGTCCAGAGTCCATTAAACAAAAAATTACCTGGGCCACTGGTAAGCCCCAGGTACACTAGAGGAATTCCTTCCGGAGCAGGCACAGACTGTAACCCGGAAGTCAGTGCAGTCGGCTTCACAGGAGCTGCAGGTGAGGACGCTGGCTCTGGCCAGGCTACCTGGAACCCTGGGGGAAGAGAGGGCTTCGAGAATTGTTGTTCACTGGAGGCCGGTGCCTTTGGTCCTGCTGGGACGAGGTATTGCTTGTGGTGCCAGCCAGGCAGTTCTGCAGTTGCTTCAGGTTCTCAATTTGAGATGGCCAAAGAGAAGACAGGATTCTTCAGGGGAAGAACAAGGAGGGGGGAGACAAATACAGGATAAAACAGGGACTCATCACTCAACAGCAACTGGAGGGCAACTGTCTGGCACTTGCCTCACAGCTAGAAGCAAAGGGACTACAGGGGGATTGAGTCCAGCTGTGGGAGCAGAGGATGGGCCCACACCAAGAGGGCTGAGGGACCCATCAGGGAGACTGGATGGCTTTTCCTGCTGGTCCCATCGCTTGCCACCCTGTCACTTGAAAAACCACTTAAGCACAACTTTGAAAGATTGCAATATATTCTCTGGAAACACCCAGCAGCACAATAACCCTCCCTGGGCCCTCCCGCCCTTGTGCAGCCACCGTTGGGGGGGGGGCAGCATGGTCTGGAGAACCTTGAGCTCTGGAAAAGTCCCTGTCAGTCCTCGGGAACACAGCTGGCTATATCAGAAGAACCTGCTCAAGGATGGTTCTGGATGTCTGTGGAATCCTTTCTGGGAATGTCACTTCAAACTCGATGACAAGGTCCCCTCGTTTTTCCGGTGTCTTTGGGAGGGGGAGACCTTCTCCAGGAACTTTCCGCCTCATGCCAGGCCTGATGACATCTTTGAACACGACAGGTATGGTCCTGCCATCCAGAGTGGGGACGTTCACTGTACAGCCACAAAGAGCCTTGGAAAGAAAAGGGATATTAAATGGGAGACAGTAAGTTTGACTTCTGTCCAGGCCTCTGTATCTAAAACTACCCATGTCACCATCAGAGAAGGCCCAGCAGCATGGACCCTGGCCAGATGGCCCTGTGCTCAGAAAACATCTCTGGAGCAAAGACAGGACAGCTGGGGAAAGCAGTCCCTACTCCCTCCCTGCAAGGCAACAGCTCTTCCTGTCCTTACCTCCCGAAGGCTGATCCTGGCAGGATAAATGACATCCGAGCCATCTCTCTTGAAGATATTGTGTGGCTTGTCCTTTAAAACAAAGACAATGTCGGCAGGAATGTTGTTGGAGGTCTGGTCGCCTTCTTTGGGGAAGGTAATTTTGGTCCCTTCCTTCCAACCCTTCTTCACTTCGATGGTCAGGATTTTGTCTTCATTTCGAATGCTCTTTCCGTCAGGGTTCAGCCGCTTGTGGGAGATTTTCATCTTCTTGGTACAGCCGCTGTAGATTTCTTCAAGGGAGACCCTAAGGTCGTGGGTGACAGGGGGATCTTGTTTCTTGCGGGCAGGTTCCTGGGCAGGGCGGGAGCGACTGAAGTTCACGTTGGTGAAGCCACCCATGCCCATGGGGAAGCCAGAAAATGGGTCATCAATATCCATGCCTTCTTCCCCATTCCGCTGCCCAAAGAAGGTGTCAAAGGGATTTCTCCCCCCAAAAAACTCCGCAAACATAGCATGCGGGTCTCCGTGGAATGTGTAGCTGAAAGAAGTCCCGTTCATACCACCGCTGCCACCGCCACTGGGGCCACCGCCCTTTAGACCTGAAATGCAAGACACGTCAGACAGCTGGCCAGGTGCTTCTCCTCAGGAGCTTCCTGAAGGGGAAAGCCTGGGAAGCCTAGGGGAGGCATGTTTAGCCTGTCAGGCAAAAGTGAGGAAGCAACCAGACATTAACCTCCCACTGCAGCAGCAGCAGCAGCAGAAAGCAGCTCAGCACCTTGCCACATCAGTGGCAAAGGGCTCAGCTCTAAGTTTCTTCGTGGACACGGCTGCCTGGGCTCTTCCTCCTCTGGGATGGCCGGCTTGGGGTACACAGTGGGTTCAAGGCCGGCATTAACGATACAGTGAAACCCTACCTCCAAAATAAATGCTTCACACATACAAACAAAAAAGGGCTCAGGGTGTGCTAGCCCAGGCCCTGCCACTTGACTAAGCACACTGCCAGCCACACTGTACGCCAGAGAGCTCAAAGGAGAAAGGCCCGATTCGGGGGAGCACTAGTCTCCCGGGTGAGGGACGGGAGGGCAGAGTACAACTACAGTTTAAGTCCGGCATGCCGGGTGCAAGCCTGTCATCTCAGCAGCACTCGGGGAGGCCGAGGCAAGATCGCCAAGTCTGCGCTCAGTTCGGGCAGCAACTAATTTAACAGACCTGGTCTCCCCACCGCAAAAACATTTATTTTTACGGAGGGCGTAGCAACACGCCTGTAAACCCAGCACACGGGGGGGGGGCAACACACTTTCCGGACCCCCTTCTGTCTCTTAGAAGCTTTCTTTCCCTCAATAAATTTTTTCTACGCTTAAAAAAAAAACAAAAAAACCCACACAAACCAGCACCCCAGAGGCTGAGGCAAGAGCATCGGCGCAATGAAACCAATAGAAAAATAAACTTAAGAGGGTTTTGGAAAACCAGCTCAGCCTAAAAAGCCCTGGGTGCAGTTCGTAGCACCGCAAAAGAAATAAAACACGCAGAGCGGCGTCGGCCCTCGCACCCCCCAGAGGCCGCGCCGGGAGCTCCTGCGCCCGCTCTGCCTCCCGCGCCCAGTTGAGGCAAGAGCATCGGCGCAATGAAACCAATAGAAAAATAAACTTAAGAGGGTTTTGGAAAACCAGCTCAGCCTAAAAAGCCCTGGGTGCAGTTCGTAGCACCGCAAAAGAAATAAAACACGCAGAGCGGCGTCGGCCCTCGCACCCCCCAGAGGCCGCGCCGGGAGCTCCTGCGCCCGCTCTGCCTCCCGCGCCCAGTGCCCAGTA